GGCGTGTGAGATGCTTCCCCCTCCCCAAACCCTTCCCCTGGGAGCCGGATCCGGTCGATTTGGAGGGGGGGTCTATCTGGGCTGGCTGGGGGATTACTTTGCTCCAGAACTTCTACCCGGAGGGCATCGAGAACCTCAGAACGGGCCACGAGGTCTCCAAGAGACCTCCCAAACGGTCCAAGAAGGCCCCGAGTCGCCGAGGCATCATCCCTAGACGCCCAAGATGGCCTCCAGACGGCCCAAGATGCCTCCAAGACGCCCCACGAGGCGTCGAAGAGGCCTCCCAAGAGGGCCCCAAGAGGCCAGAACCGGTGATATTCATTTGTTTTTTTTTGTTATTGGTTTTCTCGCCTTTTCCAGCCTCCAACGCTCGAAGACGGCCCACGAGGCCCCCACGACCGCCACAAGACGGCCCAAGAGGCCCCCAAGAATGCCTCAAGACGCCCCAAGAGGGCCCCAAGACAGCCCAAACGGGTTGCAAGACGGCCCAAGGGGGCCACAAGAGTGGCCCAAGACGGGCCCAAAAAGAGGACCACGAACCGAAAATTCTAGCTTTCCGCCCCAAGAGGCCCCCAGGAGGCCGCAAGAGGCCCCCAAGGGGCCCCAAGAGGCCCCCAAGAGACCCCCAAGAGGCCTAAAAGAGGCCCCCAAGAAGGCTGCAAAACAGCCCCCCAGAGGCCTCCAAACTGCCTCGGGCAGGCCCCCGAGAGGCTTCTCACGAGATCCCAACGAACATCCAAGAGGCCTCTGAACCACAACCCAGGCATGGTGGCGGGATGGACCGAAGGCCACTAAACCTGATCGGACAAGAACGGGAAGCGCCGCTGTAGTCAAATGGGCGTATTGGGTGAAGAAGAAAAGGAAGGCGAGGACAACGAGGAGTCGATGACGAGGACGACGTGGCGAACGTGAGGATAGCGAGGAGGAGCATGAGGACAACGAAGAGGAAGAGACGCACAAGGACGAGGACGAAGAGAACGAGGGCGAGTACGAGGAGGAACGCGGAGGGCGATGATGACGACGACGACGACGACGACGGAGGACAGTACGAGGCAATTGGAGAAAGACGTTGCTCCTGGCGCCGCGCGGGGTTCTCTTGGGGCCTGTTGGGGGCTTCTTGGGGGCCCCTTGGGCCCTCTTATGGGCTTCTGGAGTCTTCTTGGGCTGTCTGGGCGCGTCGTGGGGTTCTGTGGGAGCTTTCTTAGGCCGTCTCGGCGCTGGGGGTCTCCTGGGACGCTCCCGGGAGTCGTTTGGGGCCTTCTTGGCCCTTCTCGGGCCGTCTTGGGGTTCTTGTGAGCTGTCTGGGTGGCTCCTAGAGCGCTCTTGGGGGTCTCTTGGGGTCTTCTTGGGGCGCCCTTGGGCGCTCCTGGGGCTCTCCGGGGCGTCTTTTGGGCCTCCCTTGGGCCGTTGGAAAACACTCCAAGAGCGATTTGAACACGACGTCGATGCGGAGTCCCCTCTTGGGCCGATTTTTGGAGGATGTCTCGAGAGAAACGGTCATTTTCCAAAAATCCGCCAGCGCAGCTTCAAAGTGCGGCGCGTACCCGATTATGAACAAGTGGCACGTGTGTGCCCAGGCTCATACAAAAAAATATCCCAGTGCGACCCTACCTAGGAGTTGGAGCATTTAGGAAAGCAACATCTACATTTACACCGACAGCTACATTTACATCTACACCTGCATCTACATCTACATCAACATCAACAGCGAGACTATGATATGCTATGCTATGATATGCTATGCTGCACTATGCTATGCTATGACATGATATGATATGCTATGCTATGATGCGCTATGCTATGCTATGATATGATGTGTTATGATATGCTATGCTGCGCTGTGCTATGCTAAACAATGCTATTCAATGCTATGCTATGCTATGCTATGCTGCGCTGTGCTATGCTATGCTATGCTATGCTATGCTATGCTGAACTATGCTATGCTATGCTATGCTATGCTATGCTATGCTGTGCTAATGCTTCGCTGCGCTCTGCTGCGCTGCGCTAAACTAAGGTAAGCTAAGCTATGCTAAGCTAAGCTAAGCTACGCTAAGCTAGGCGAGGCTAAGCTAAGCTAAGCTAAGCTAAGATGATATACGTTAAGCTAAGCTAAGCTACGCTAGGCTAGGCACAGCTAAGCTAAGATGAGATAAACTAAGCTAAGCTAAGCTAAGCTAAGCTTAGCTAAGCTTAGCTAAGCTAAGCTAAGCTAAGCTAAGCTCAGCTAAGCTTAGCTGGGTGAACCCAGGGGGCCCAACTAGGGGAACCGCAGGGCGGGGACCGGGGGAACCGTAGGGAAAAACTGAAAGGGCGTTTGAAGCAGGAAGACACCATGACTGCAGGATCGGAGATGGGAAGGGGAAGCTGGGGCGGTGCCGCCAGGGGGTGCCTAAGAGAAGGGGAAGAGGCAGGAGGTGAACGCAGAAGAATTAAGATCGAGGTCGCACTCGAGCGCAAGTGGGGTTGCCACACCTTGCGATGTGTGTACCAGGGCCCCCCAAGAAACCTCAGGAAGCCCGACTTGGATACCGGAAGAGGCTCCAGGAGGCCCCGGGATTGTGAGTGTTGTGTGTGTGTGTGTGATGTGTGCTCTGTGTTGTGCGTGTTTTCTTGTGCGTTGTAGGTGTTGTGTGTGTGTTATGTTTGTCTAGCGTGTGATGTGTTGGGTGTGATTTGTGTCTCTGTGTGTGCATGTAGTTCTGAGGCCCCAGGAGGCCCCAGGAGGCCCCAGGCAGCCTCAGGAGGCCCCAGAAGACCCCAGGAGGTTCCAGGAGGCCCCAAGAGGCTCCAGGAGGCCGCAGGAGGCCCCAGGAGGTTCCAGGAGACCCCCAGGAGGCTCCGAGGCGGGGTCTGGGGTACCAGAAGGTACAGAAAGCCCCAGGAGGCCCCAGGAGGTTCCAGGAGGCTCCCAAGAGGCTCCGAGGCGGGGTCTGGTGTACCAGAAGGTACGTCGGGGCTCGATTTTGGGAGGATGTCTCAGGCGAAATCGCCATTCTCTGAGAATCGGGGTCAAAATCATTGAAATTACAATGTGTTTTTGAAGGTTTGATGTTAGAATGTTGAAATTTCAATGTGTTTTTGGACCCTGACGTCACGATCTGCGTGAGGGGTGCCACCGATTTTAAGATTTTCGAGGATGTCCCTAGCGAAACGGCCAGAACAATCGCGAACGCCGCCTTCAGTTAATCGGCTCTGAGCTCTACTCCCTCGGAGAGGTGCGTATGATAATTTTTACCACCAACAAACGGTCCACACCAGGGGCGCTTCCCGTCATCCGCCGCTCCCTGTCGATTCATCGCAGGGGTACCTGGCTGGCATGCTGAATCCTTTCGGATTTGGTTTTGGTTATTTTTCCAAAAGATCTCCCCCTGGGGCTTCGGCGCGTTCCGCCAGGGTCCCGGAAGGCCGCGTAAACCACCTCAGCGTCCACAACAAATCCTCCAAGACGGCTCAAGATGGCCTCCAAGATGGTCCAATATGGCCTCCAAGTTCGCCGAATATGGTCCAAGACGGCCTCCAAGACGGCCCAAGAGAGGCCAAGACGGCCCAAGGCCTGCAAGATTGCCTCAGGACACGGCCCCAAGAGGGCACAAAGACGACCCAAGAGGCTTCCAATACGCCCAAGATGGCCTCTAAGACGGCCCTGGAGCACCCCACGAGGGCCCCAAGTCGGCCCAGAAAGCCCCCCCAACGGCTTCAGACGGCGTCAGACGGGCCAGGAACCCATCAAGATAACCGAAGTTGGCTCCAAGCTGGCCCAAGACGGCCCAAGAGGCCTCCAAGAGGGCCTCCAGGAAGGCCAGAAAATGGCCAAAACATTGATTTTCCTTAGGTGTTTCAAGGACTTTGAGATTTGCTTCGTTTCGGCCATCCCACGGCCCGATACGGCCCAAGACCCCCCAAAGATCGCCCAAAGATCGCCCAGGAGGCCTCCAAGATGGCCCCAGAACGGCCCGAGAGGCCTCCAAGACGGCCCCAAGAGACCCCCAAGACGGCCCAGGAAGCCTTTAAGACGCCCAAGAAGGCCTCCAAGACGGCCCTGGAGTATTCCAAGAGGGCCCCAAGTCGGCCCAGAGAGGCCCCCCAAACGGCTTCAGACGGCGTCAGACGGGCCAGGAGCCCACCAAACGGCCGAAGATGGCCCTACGATTGCCCAAGACGGCCCAACCAAGAGGGCCTCCAGGAAAGCCAGAAAAACACCCAAATCATTGATTTCCCATGAGTTGCTGAAGGATCGTGGCATTTGTTTTGTTCGGCCTTCCGACAACCATAGTGCCCCCAAAGATCGCCCAAGAGGCCCAAGACGGCCCCAAGAGGCCCCCGAGACGGCCCAAGAGGCCTCCACGACGCTCAAGATGGCCTCCAAGACGGCCCAAGAGCCCTCCAAGACGTCCTCCAAATAGGCCCGAAAGGGTCAGAAATGGCCTCCAGACGGCCACGATGACCTTCAGGATGCCCACGTGTTCCCCGAAGGCTTTCCAAACCGATTCGGGGAACACATGGTCCGATAGCTTGGCAGGTCTGGCCTCAACGTTCGGCCACATAGGCGCTTCCAAGAAGGCAGGGGGCGGCATAGGCCACGCAGCACCCAGAAGCCGCAACAGCGATTCTCCCCAAAGGGGTCGGCGGTGCGGCGTAAGCCAAATCATCGACACGACTGGTCGTACTAAAAGAAACTGCCCCACCAACATACCACAACAAGCGACACGAACAAACAAAACATTGTAGCCACGCCGACAGTGTGCAAAGCGCAGACGCCGTATCTCGGGCACTGGAGTCAGACTCTTACCTACTGAGCAGGGGGGCCTGCCAGGCCATTCAGGCGACGAGACGTATTCAACCAGTATGTATTGCAAAACAAAAGCAACAAGAACGCTTAATGTTGACGCAAAGGAGCAGAAAAGGACGTGCACGACTACGAGGACAACGAGGGAGAAGGCAGGGACCTGGACGGGAGCAAGATGCAGGACCACGGGAGCGGACGGCCACGCCCGAAGCGCCTGTATAAAGTGCAGGGCGAAGAACCAGGCGTGCAGCAGGAAGACGTACAGCGGCCCGTCGCGCACCATCACGTGCACCGCGTAGGCGCTGAAAAAGCTGCGCCTCTCTGGCGCCAACGTTGGTCGGAAGCTGGGCGAGGGCTGCTAAATCCGTGGCTGCTAAAATCAACCTCCGGGAAGTTGTCTTCGTCCTCCCGGGAAGACGCCCGCTGACTGTTTCGCGTGCCGCGCCTCATTCCGGGAAGCTGTTTTTTCCCTCCGGAAGGGCCGTTTTAGCAGCCACGGTTTTAGCAGCCCTCGCCCAGCTTCCGAGTTGGGCGTCGCTTGATGGGGGGGGCCCTGGAACACACAAATCCGCCGACCCTGTCGGCGTGTGGAAGACGCATCCCGGTGTCGTCGTCTTGCGTGGATCACCGTCGTCGTCGTCGTCGTCTCCGTCGTGTCCTCGTCGTCTCCGTCTCCGTTGTCCCTCGTCGTCTTCGTCGTTCCCCGTCTCCTTGAGCGCGCGAGCCAAAGCGACATTGAGCAACGTCGTAGTTGAGTCGTGGCGAAGCCCCTCCCTACCCTCCCCGCCGGGGGGGGGGGGGGGGGGGGGGGGTCGCCGGGGGGGGTCGCCGGGGGGGGTCGCCACCCAGATACGCATCCTCCCCGGGGGGTCCCGGAGCTCAGAAAAGCTTCAAGACGAGCCAAGAGCGCCAGAAGACACCCCCAAAAGGGTACACGAGGGCCTCGACTCGACGAACGATCGCCCCAAGACGCCCAAGACGGCCCGAAGACGGCCCAAGAGGCCCTCAAGACGCTCCAAGAGAGCCCCAAGAGCACTCCCAAGAGGGCCCCAGGAGCCAAAATCGTCAATTTTACATCGGTTTTTGAATAATTTTGGCCTTCTCGCCTTTTCGGCTTCCCGACACTCCAAGACGGCCCAAGAGGCCCCCAAGAGGCCCCCAAGAGCGCACCAAGAGGCCTACAAGAGGGCCCCAAGACGGCCCAAGAAGGCCCCAGGACAGCCCAAGAGGCGCCCAAGACGGCCCAATAGGGCCCCAAGACGGGCCCAAGAAACGGCCAAGAGGGGGACGAGGAACCGAGAATTCGAGACTTCCGCCCTAAGAGGCCCCCGGGAAGCCCCAAGAGGCCCCCAAAAGGCCCCAAGAGGCCCCCAAGCGGCGCCAAGACGCCCCCAAGATGCGCCGAAGACGGCCTCCGGAAGCCCCAAGATGCCACAACGGCCTCCGGAAGCCCCAAGAGGCCCAAAAGAGCCCCCCCAGAGGTCAACCACGAGATCCCAACCAACATCCATAAGGCCTCCTCTTCCTCCCCCTTCACCCTTCCTTCTCCTACTTCCTTCCGCCTCCTCCTCCTCCTCCTCCTCCTCCTCCTCCTCCTGCCCCCCCCCCCCCGTGTTGTCTTTCGTCATCTTCAGGGTCGGCGGCAACGGCCGTAAGGCCTTCGCAATAAATACACACAAGTAACAAGTTGTCCCATATTTGCCCATATTTTCCAGGTTTCTGCCTTACCCCCCAATGCCAACATTTTCCCACATTTTCTGGGGGATCGACGATTCATTGTGCCTGTGTGTTTCTTCTCCTCCTGATTGATGGAGGGGGGAAGCATTGGATGCTCGTTCTGGGGACCTTCCTGGAGCCACTCGCTCCACTCGTGCGTCGAAGCTGCATCGAACGTCAGTCGATTTGGGTCGACCCTGAGTCGAACCTGAGTCGAACTGGGGTCGAACAGATCCGTTAGGTGGGCTCCAGGAAGGTCCCCGAAACGAGCATCGAAGAAGCAGGATGCACCTCTCGGGCCGTGGAGGCCCCCCCTTGAGGCCCTCTGGGGCCCCTCGAGGGGCCCCAACATCGGGGGCGCGGGAACAGGGATTCGCGATCCTCCTCCTCTCCTCCTCCTCCTCGTCCTCCTCCTCCTCCTCCTCCTCCTCCTCTCCTCCTCCTCCTCCTCCTCCTCCTCCTCCTCCTCGTCCTCCTCCTCCTCCTCCTCCTCCTCCTCCTCCTCCTCCTCCTCCTCCTCCTCCTCCTCCTCCTCCTCCTCCTCCTCCTCCTCCTCCCCCTCCCCCTTCAGGCCGACGTCGTTCTCCTTCCCTTCCTGCTCTTCCTGCGGGTGCCGATCCTCATCCTGCCTCCCCTCCTCTCTTGGGGGCGCGCAAACGTGGATTCGCGATGCATGGATTGGCGCGCGGTCGCCAAATCCATGGATCGGGGGAGGTGCCCTCCCCAAGATGCGACCGGTGCCGCCCCGTCCAGCGGCGGAAATCCGCGACTTCTGGTGGAAGTGGGGCCCGTCGCTCCTCCACGCCCCCTCGATGCATGTCTGCGATCGCCCGACAAAAGGACCTCGTCTGCAGCCCTCGCTGCCCCCCCAATTGCGCGACGCCCAACAGCGGGCGGCGGTCGCTCTCGGGAAGCACCGCGGGAGGAGCGGATGCCGAGGCCGCCGCCAGGCTTCACCGACGCCCCCGCTACAGCCCCTCCTCAACTCCTCCTCCCCCGGCAGCATCCTCCTCTCCTGTCCTCTCCCTGCAGGGAGCCGTGCATACGTCGCCTTTCGGAGCTCCGCGCGAATTCCTTGGATCGGCGTTCGGCCCCCCTCCCTGGCGCGCGGAGCGCGCCTGGGGCGGCGCGGGAAGCGCCGCCAAGTGGGCCCAGCGCGGATCCAAGAAATCCGCGCGGAGCTCCGAAACTGCATGCTTAAGCTGATTTTACTTATTCGATCCCCCTCCCCCCTCCTCCTCCTCCTCCTCCCCCTCCCTCCTCCTCCTCCCTCCTCCTCCTCCTCCTCCTCCTCCCCTCTCCTCCCTCCTCCTCCTCCTCCTCTGCCCCCGCCTCAGCCTCCCTCCGCCTCCGCCTCCGCCTCCTCCTCCTCCTCCCTCCTCCTCCTCCTCCTCCTCCTCCTCCTCCTCCTCCTCCTCTGCCCCGCCTCCGCTCCGCTTCCGCCTCCGCCTCCTCCTCCTCCTCCTCCTCCTCCTCCCTCCTCCTCTCCTCCCTCCTCCTCCTCCCCTCCCCCTCCCCCTCCCCCTCCCCTCAAGCCATATCGGCCCGAGCACCAAGTCCTCTTCCCCCGTGGAGAGGCCGCGTGTTCGCGCCGCCACGGTGCCGTCCCGTGGCGCTTGAGGGACAACCTCAGTCGAGGGTGCAGCCCAGCCCTCCAGCTTTGGTTGACTAAAGCCGAGGCTCGCCATGAGCCGTTTGTGGTCATCGTGCCCGCACTGTGGGCGACAGGAATACAACGAATTGCTGATTGAGAGAGGCCAGACATGTGTTTGTGGCAAGAAGGTTACATTGTATAAGCCCAAGAAGAAGCCACCCGCCCCCGTGATGGAGCAGTGCAGGCTGCTCCCAAGGGTGGCCCTACGGAAGTCCGTGCGCTCTGCCGACGGACAGGGTGGTCTCGACAGCGGAGGCGGCGGCTCACGACCTTCGACGCCCACTTCTTCCCCGATGGGGATCGGCAGGGGTGCAGAAGGATCAGGATTCAGTGGCATCTCATCTTCCGGCGGCACTCGAGACCCTGAACTACGTGCCAGTCTTCAGCAGCAGCCTGGTAAGCTTCCAGCCCAGAGGAGCCCAGGTGCCTCCAGCGTGGTGCAGGCCATGCAGCAGGCCGACGGAGCGTGGAGAGATGCGAAAAAAAACGCCATCAACAGGCGGTCACATCAGTTTTGCGATTGGAGAAGAATCTCGCAGCTGCTCGTGAGAAGGAAGCTAAGTTGTCCAAGATGGTAGCAGAGGCCAGTTTCACAAGGTCGCAGGCTGCTGCAGCGGTGGCAACACTTGAGGGAGTGGCAGGCACTGCGCAGTCGGATTCATCTATCAAAGAAGAGAAGAAGCCCTTCGACGTCGCGTGGGACGGGGATCTTGTCAGCAACTTGGATCAGCTCGAGTGTGAGCAGGCGGAGCGAGAATTGTTGCGTAATTGTCTGGCAGAGTTGCAGTCGCAGAAGGCGTCCATTTCCACCAAAGCCGACGAGGTTGCTCAGCTGGTCGAGAGAGCTAAGGCAACCAAAGCCGCCATCACTGAGAGGTTGGCCAAGAAGCGCCGTAACAATTCAGGTGAAGCTGATGGTAGTTCCCCTGCAGGTGGTGCTCCAGCAGTCGCAGCTGAGTCGTCAGGCGCTGGATTGGTGACTGCAGCATCTCCAGAGGTTGAGGCCAAGCAGAAGGGAGAGAGGGAAGCCAAGATTGCAGCCGAGGCGGAGAGGATCTCGCAGGCGCAGTTCCAGGCCCAGAGGCACGCGGAGCAGGCCGCGGCGGCAGACCAAGATCCTTCGCATTCACTAGGGACTACGAAGTCCCCCCGTGCGGCTTACGAGCCGCGTGCCCGTCCTCAACTACCAGAATTATCCACCGTGCGGTTCGGGAACGTTACGTCAATGGGCGACACGGCGTGGGACTTCGCCGTGGCCAACTTCGAGGCGGGCCATGTAGATGTGTGCGCTTTCGCTGAGACGCATGTTTCACGTGCTAATGCGACCACTTGGTTTAAAAAGGCTCGTCGAGCCAACATCAGGTTGTATATGAACCCAGCCCGTAAGACAGGTCGTGCGGTCACTGTTCAAGGCCAAGATCGTGACACTGAGGGTGGGGAGTGGATTTTGATGCCTGGTCACAGGGAAGCACACTCTTTAGTTCACCAGCTCGATCGTGTTCATGAGTTCCAGTATGATGGTCAGGTGGCAGTAGACGGGTTTGCGGCTGTACATGTACATATGTCTGGGTATTCGTATGTTTTAGTTTCCTTTTATGCCTACACTTCGGTGGGCATGGCCAGCTCGAACCTTGCTAGGTTCGCAAAGCTGGGGGCCCTTTTGGCCGCGCTGAAACTTCCCTGGGTCCTTGTGGGAGATTCCAATATGTCCGCTGCCGTACTCGGTAAAGCTGGATGTTTCACTCGCGTAGGTGGTCAGCCTGTGCACCCAGGTACAGAAATGAGATCGTCTGGTAAGCAGTTAATTCAGAGGGCCCTTCAGCTCCCGACGAAGTTGCCTCAAGTTGCAAGGCCCACCACTCGGCCTACGGAGGGGTCTAAGTCCCAGGCAGCTAAGGCCCAGCGAAAGCTTAAGGCTGAGGCATTTGCTGAGCGTCGTTCACAATA